AGTTCAAGAGTAATATCTCTGGTGAAAGAGGTAAGTTTATCTGTGTTATTAATTGTATGTGGGGTCTGATTTGTGACCAGAAGAATTGTATGTAGGGGCATGTCCACCAGCAATGGATATAATCTGCTTTTTGACCACATTTTTTGTTGCAAAGTGGGTCTATGTCATTTTTCCAACGGTGTAAGGTAGCTGGAGGTATATACCATCTCAAAAGGGTCTTGATAGTCTGAAAATGGATATTAAAAATTGCTGTGGAAAGATTTGGTGAGGCCCATATGCATTCCCAGTCTTCTTCTTTTATTTTGTTTTCACAGTCCCGGTTCCATAGTTTCTGGTACTTAAGCGGTTTATCTCCATCCAGTGAATTTAAGAGTTTATATATTTTGGAAAGTAAGCCTGATTGATGTGACTCTAAATTTTTTTAGGAGTAATTCAAAACCTGTTTGTGGTCTAGCCATTGCTTGTGATATATACGATGATTCCATCATGTGTTTAAGTTGTAGATACTGGAACCTTTCGGTTTTTCTTAAACGACTCATATCCATCTAGTACTACATTCCACTCATGGGAATCATCCCACCAAGTCTCTGTAATGTCTACTAAATCATATCCCTCTGTCTGCATTAGAAGCTCAAGCTCTTCCTTCTTATGGCCCAAGCGTTGACCATTGTTAAATAGAAACCTGAAGCCCCACACCTTCAGCTCCATTAGACCTGGCCCTCCCCTCTTGATGAATCTCCCCAGGTTACTGCCAAACACATTCTTCCCTGACCTTGAAAGGTGAAGTCCATTGCTTGCTAGTAGGTTGTCATCCAGAAAACCTAGCCCATCACTCCTGCCGGCACCGCCAACTCAGCCAGTGGTTCACCTCCATTATCATCTGCTCCCATTGTATTCTCCTTCCTATGATATGAAGGAATGAAGAGAACACCACCTGTGCCCCCATTCCCTTCCGCTTCCTCCTGAGAGCTTCATAGTTAGCCTTAATGCTTTCGATGGTGTTCACGGTTGTGTCGTTGGTTCCCACATGGACAATCACAAATGGGTAATCTCTGTAGGTTGGATGAGTTTTGGGATTCTGTCTGTAATATCTTTAATTTTTGCCCCTGGTAAGCAACACACTTCTCAGGCCAAGGGGTCAGGCCTGGACACATGACGTTCCATACCCCTCAGCAGGGACTCACCTATGACCTACGCAGTCCTCTTCCTTCCTGCACTATTTCTTCATATCTCCCTGTGCACCTCCCTCTGTTCTCCTTGTGTTTGTGATAATTACGCTGGCAGTGTTTCCACCTCTGCTTCCACCGCAAGGGCCTGGAATCGATTCCTTAGTTCTAATGGCATTGAGTGCCATCTTGCACAACATTTTTGGGGTTGGGCTGTAGTGCTCTGAGGAGTCTCGTTAAGGCAGTCAACCACACTGTTGTTCCTTTGACTGGTCTCTCCTTCCCTATGTAGGACATCAAGGCTTCAGTTAACGAACTCCTCCCCTTCCTTGATTTCATGGAGAGTAGTAATCCTTTCCTCCAGGCTCCAAACCTTCTCCCGTAAGAGTCCTATCAACTTACACTTCTGACAAGTGTAGTCTATCCTGTCCTCAGGGAGGAAGACAAACATGGTGCACTCCCCACAGGTGACTGGAAATGGTCCATGAATATTCATCATCACTTCCCAAGTCGATTCTTTTCACCTATAAAATACCTTGGTGTGTTGATGTACTCTGAAACTTAGATCCAGAGGAGTTAGCCATGTTAGTCTGTTGCTGCAAAATAGTAAAAACCCCAGTAGCACTTTTAAGGCTAACAAAAGTTATTGTAGCATACACAGCTCTCTTCGTCAGATGCATGGAGGGTATGAAGAAACTGGCCAGAGATATATAGGTGGTAAGGGGGTGGGGAGAGAATGCAGAAAGCTTATTCTACAATAAAGTCTGTTGGTCTTAAAGGTGCTACTGGGCTCTTTACTATTTTCCTGACACTTAGAGAACTGACCAAATGGCTACCTGAGCCAAAAGGGGTAAAGCACAATAATATAAAATTGTCTTAACTACTTATGGGATCCCAGGTCCAATCCCCAGGCTAAAAGCCACAGGGCAAGAGCCCTTTAGCTCTCACCCTTTGGCTCATGCCTCTGGTGAGAAGGAGCCTTGCAATTCAAAGGCTCACAGCCCCCAGCTCTCAACAGCCAGAGCAACAGCAGAGGGCGAGGCCAGCAACCAACCCCCAATCTTCCTCTCTCAGCAACAAACCAGACAAAAAAACACAGAGGAGCAATCAGAAACCCCTCTCCAGCAGGCTCCAAGCACTCGCTCTCCCTCACATACTGTTTTCTCAGACACCAACCTCAGTTAATGTTCCACAGCAGTTTAGGAAAAGCAAAACTAACACTCACCTCACCAGCCATTCTGTCCCAGCTCCTTCTCCCAGCCCAGCTGTTGGCCTGAGGGAAGGTGCTGAGTGTTTTGTTTGAGGGGGGTGGCATGAAAGAGCCAGGGTATAGTTGGAAGCTAATATAAAACAGGGGTCTTGAGCTACCTTAAAGGCATAATGAGATTTTTATGGATCATTTTTATTTTCTAGACATCTGTACCTTGCTTTTCTCCCCAAATGGGGACCCAAAGCAATTTACAAGTATCATTCTCCCCATCTATGTTTTTTGTTCTCACAACTGTGCAGGGTACATTAGGCTGAGAGAGTGTCCAGTCCAAAGTCACCCAGCAACTTCCATGGCAGAGTGGGGCTTATGAACCTGGGTCTCCCAGTTGTTACTCCCCATGCTCGAACCTCAGCACCATGGAGTGTATGCGTGTCTTTGTGGAAGGTCAGGTCTCTAAATGGGACTGAAGTGCAAGGAAAGGAGTGGTCTGTGGGAGCAGACTTGAGATTTGGAGGAGAGTAGATTGGTGTGGGTGAATCACACAGAGGTGGTGGGAGAAAACAGCTGATTTAGGAGTTCTGGTCATTGACAGGTGGCTGGTGAATCTGTGGCAGATTCATGATTTTTGTGGTGGATTGAGGAAGTGTTGAGGGTGGTGGCTCCAGTTTCTTGGAGAGTTTATATTATATTTGTACATTTTGGAGTGGACCACTCTAAGTGAGGAAGAAATCCTGCTTCACACACAAAAATGCTTCCAGGGTTGCAGAGAGAAAAAAGTGTAGTGAGGAAGTATATTTTCAGAGATGGAAGAGGACCCCTGGGATTACTTGTGCTGGGGAGGTGGGGAGATGGACAGGAAAAGTTTCTCTAAGATGGGAGGCCTTGCTCAAGGTGGGTTACACACAGTGAGTCAGTACAGTTGACAAGATGGGACATTCACACTGGTCCCCACCTATCAATGAAAGGATGCCACAAATCACAGATAGGTGGGGGAGCAATGTGATGCTGTACTGAAGGATAAGCTTTCTGAAGTTGGCATTAGCAAATTTTACCAGTTTTGGGATCCAAATTAACCCCAGTTTAAGACTTTTGCTTCTAAAATTCTGTCTATGTTTGGGGCAATGTACATCTGTGAACAGCTCTTTTCTGTAATAAATGTCAATAAATCAAAAATACATTCTCAGGTTTGATACACACCTAAACAGAATACTCAAGATTGCTACAGCACAGATTTTGACTCCAGATTTTGATGCAATAAATCAGAGCAAGAGGTGTCAAATAAAGGAAATACTGTAAGAGTGTTAATATTTTAAGCATGTTTGTATTTGGAGTAAAAATAACACCATTAATTGTGTTTGCCTGCGTCCTTTATAAAGTGTATATCTCCGGTACCTGGCCTTACATTTTATGACGCACATGGCGTGGCCCAACAAAGTGACATTTATGTCAGATCCAGGCCTCATAACAAATGAGTTCAACACCTCTGGGCTAGAGTGTCAGGCTAGGATCTGGGAAACCCAGGTTCAGATCCCCACTGTGTCATGGAAGCTTGCTGGATGAACTTGGACCAGTCACATGACCTCATCCCTCACAGGATGTTGTGATGATAAAATGAAAGAGAGAATGATTATATAAGTTGCTTCAGGTCCCCATTGGGGAGAAAGCCCAGGTATAAATGAAGTAAATAAATAAAAATAATAAATATTCAGGACACTCAAGCAAGGGAAAATCTGCTCCTTCTCTGCCATCACCAGGTTTTGTAAATACCTTGCCAAGTTTCTTGTGCTGGCCTAGTAACTAGAAACTATCTCTTTTTAAATGAAGTTGAAAATTCTCTGGCTAGTCTCATTTTATACCTTTGTAATTACAGCAGATTACCAGTCTTGAGAGAAAGAGAGAGATAATAATAAAATGCCTATGTAAATAAGGATAGGGCATGGCTACACTGAAGTTTGTCATGTGAAATTTTAAAATATGCATGTTTTGCAATAATGTGAAATAAATAACTAAAACATACTGCCCTGTATCCTACCATCCCACTAAAAATAGTCTGGAGGAAGGCTTCTTATAGTGCAATCCTAAACAGAGTTGCAGTCTTCTAAGTTAATTGATGTCAATGGGCTTAGAAGGGTACAACTTTACTTAGGGCTGAACTGTAAGGCAGGATACCACCCACTATGCCTGGTAAAAGGTTACTTTTTTAAAAAATGCAAAAAAAGGAGATACATCCTCAGCAAAGCAGCACTAATTGTTATTCAAGAGCTGTGGAATGCTTACATTTTTTTTTGCTGAATTTTCTTCCAGAATCCATCTCCCCCCCCCCCCCCCGCAGAAATCATACCATAATTCCATTCTCAGGTTCTGGAAAAATAATCCATACCTGCTGTAAATTTCTTTTCTATAAAATAAAGGCCTATTTCAGCAGCCAAAATGCAATCAGTGGAACACAGTACTTGCTTGGTCTGCTTCCAGCCATTTCCCCGTTTTGACACTGCTCTCACAGTAATTGTAATTTTCATTCTTGGGAAAATAAAATATAGGCATGTAAATAAGAATTGCAAGGAAAAAAATGTTTGCTAGCTGTCAACAAGATACAAATACCTTATCTGTTACGTGAACTCTGTTCACTGACCTTTTTCTGTCCTGGGCACTTTGTAATCTATCTCTTGCCTTCTGTATCTGACTTTGCAGATTAGCTCTTGCCCATAATGGCTGCTTGAGGTATTTATGAGTATGTTACTGATGATCGACACTGTGCCATTGGAATTTTCTAGCTTCCTTTCATTATTTTCATCTGCTGGTCCAACCCAAGAGATTGCAGGTGGTGGGAAACCAGTTGCTGTGCATGTAGCATTCAAGAGTCCATCAGTAATGTGATGGTGTAGAAATGCATGGAAATCTGATATACAAAAAACAATAAAATACGTCACTATGAGCAACTCGCTTGAGTGATGCATGAGAACAACTTAATAGCAACAAGGCAGACCATTAGACAACTTGCAAAAATCTAAATGGAAAGAAGAGGAGTAGGAGTTGGTTTTTATACCCCACTTTTGTCTACCTTAAGGAGTCTCAAAGTGGCTTACAATCACATTCCCCTCCCCTCCCCACAACAGGTAAGGTAGGTGGGGCTGAGAAAATTCTGAGAGAACTGTGACTGGCCCAAGGCTACCCAGCTGGCTTCATGTGGAGAAGTGGGGAATCAAACCCAGTTCTCCAGATTGAGTCCATTAACCACTACACCACGCTGACTCTCAGTAGAGCTGAAGAGAAATATGAATAAGAAAGATTTGTTCAGGATAAGACTTAGCACAGTAAAAAGGGAGCCTCTTTTTCTGTTGAGGACTGGACAAATGGGGAATGCTGCAGCCAGAACCTGAACGCACATTCTGTGTTTATATGTTGCAGCCAGTTACCAACTACAAAGCCCTTCATAGCCTTGGACCCAAATACTTGCAGGACCACCTCTCCTGCCATGTGTTTCCCTCATCTGAGGAAAGCCTTCTGAAGATGCCACCCTGCAAATGGATAAATTCAGCAGCTGCCAGTTCGTGTACATTCTCTTTGGTGGATACCACCTTTTGGAACAGCCTTCCCAAGGAGTTCAGGAAGGTGCCCACACTTCTATCATTTTGTAGAATGAGCAAAATAGAAATGTTCAGAAAGGTGGTTTTTATAATGGGATTAGAGCTGTAATATAAGACAACAGGACTGTAATCTATTGCAGTGTTTATTGTATGTATTATGTTTTAGTGCACTGTCTTCTACCTTCGTAACCCACTTATGCATTATGGTATGCCATGCCTTAGACATGTTTTTCTTGTTTCCAGTTCTTTAATCCTGGTCCGACAGCATAGTTTATTGGATGTTACACACTGTCTCATGAAATTAAGATAACTCCGGAGGATGATGGAATACAGGAGGGCCTGGCGTGATGTGGTCCATGGGGTCGTGAAGAGTCAGACTTGAATGTGTGACTGAACAACAACAACACACTCTGATGGAATTGTTGTTTACATATTATAACTTGTGTTGAGTCTCAGTGAGAAGGGCAGGCTATAGTCTGATGGAATTGTTGTTTACATTTTGTAACTTGTGTTGAGTCTCAGTGAGAAGGACAGGCTATAAATGAACTAAAGAAAGGAAGAAACCATTCAGCTCACCTTCTTCTACCTGTCAGACAATTACTGTGGCTACTTGTGTTTTTTTAACTAGACAGTCCTTTTTTGAATCACCTGTTGTGTGTGTGTGTTCATGAATGTTACTTGCCCCCCAAAATCCAATTTTTAACCTAGAAGAGCACAAGGCTGGAATGGCGCATAGTTGTTATGGCACCTAGAAATATAAAGGGGTTTTGCTACCTGTCCAGCCCTCAAACAGTTCTCGACTGCCTAGAAGGGTGACAGTTCACAGAGATTCTGCCATCCATACCAGTCAGTAATAACAAGTGACTCAGAAAATATTAATAAATAAAGAGGAATAACAGATACACATTCCCTTTGTGGGGCTGATTTAACACAGACTCACCATGTACAAGAAGACAGGTTTTGTTTGAGATAGGTCCTGTGGGAAATATATTAAATATACATTCATAGCAGCTACTTTCTGAGATGCTAACATTCCAAAAGGTGATGGCAGTATCGTTAACTGCTGAACTCGTGAAGCTGAGTCGACTTCTATATTCCTCAGCAATGTACTCATTTGTATGCGTATTGTTCTGACTCAATGCTGCAATATTTACAGAGCTCCGATTAGTTTGTTTCTTCCATGAAGGATGAACTAGTTCAAAAGACCCTGTTAGGATACATCTCAAGGTCACGTTGCCACCCAGCTCTACTTCTTTATCCTCTGTCAAAATGGCACCTGGGGGGAGCACAAAATAATTTGTGATGAATAATTGTCTACCCTCCTGCCTCATGCTTACAGATCACTTGATCATTTCCTTTTCTCTGATTCTCATTAAAAGAAAACTGATATACCTCAGCCCAGCAGGAGAAGTTAGGAAGATTCCCAGTGAGGTGGTCTAGACAAGATCAAACGGTTTGGCTTCCCAAATGTGAGCCAGACTTCACAGCTTGGAACAACAATGCCACAAAAAGTATATGTGGAAGAGGGTTTTGTTTAAGTCAGTATCTTTATCTAGAAACCCTTCCATGAACTATTTGTGCTGGACTTCAGTTTCTAAAATGTTTTATCTATGCTAACTTTTTTTTTTAAAGCAAACTTCACCTTTGTAGTGGAATCGCAGAATACCGATGTTATTTCCTGGAATTAGTTGGTGTACATTACAATGGTTCTCCACTTGTACCCGATTGTACTCGATTTTCCGGCATGGATGCTTTGAGCAGACATTTGTTTTCTTTCTCCCCTTTCCCTTTAAGTTCTGGAGCCCGGCAGTGTGTTGTTTATTCCTTCAAAATTCTGGGAGTGCATAGTTATCACAGCTAATCAGCTGACCTTGGGAGGGCCTGTATGTATGATCCCTGTCATGTATGTATGTATGTATGATCCCTGTCATGTATGTATGTATGTATGATCCCTGTCATGTAGCATGTATGATCCCTGTCAAGGACAGCAATGTATAATTAAAACCACAGGTATAATCAGTGTATTTCAGATAATATATAAATCTGGGAAATAGCCCCAATAGAAAGCCTCAGCATGGTGAAATGGCCACTAGACATCTCGGAAGGCCAGATAGAGAGACACTTGCAGGTCAGTGGAGCCATTCTTCCACACTCAATGTAGACTGATACCAGGGAATGTGCGCCATATCAGCCGTTTCCATGAGGTCTATTAAGCACTGAGACAAGGCAGCTCTTTCATAATAACATGTTCCTTTACTGAACTTCCCGACCAAAGACACAGGCTCAACAGAAACCAATGTATACTTTTAAAAACCACACCCACCTTAAACAACAACCAGTACCAAGTAGGCAGCTAGGATCCTTCATTTGCATGAACGAAATACAATGTAACTATTAACAGTGCAGCTTTTGGATTATAAGCAACAAATACGATTGGCTGTTACTGGCAACACAACCAATAGTCTTGAAGGCCTTTGGAGCCTTCGCTCAGACCCAGGCTCCATCAGTACATAACAAGGTCCACCCAACTGTCAATTCTCCAGGGGGCTCCTGACAGCTGAAAGACAGCTGTTGTATTTTCTTCCTGTAACTGTCTGGCTAATAAAGTCTTCAACTCTCACCCCACTTGTGTGCCTATTTCCTCTGAATTGTTTGAAGGGCAAAAGTACCACAGCCATTTGGTAATACAACCTGTTAGCATGTAAAAGACTCCTGGCAGCTGAGTCCACAGATGTGGTCTCAGCTATCTGAGTACAATTACCATACAGAAGAAAGGGGCTTTGAAGTCTCCTTCATCCTCTAACCATCTAACTGCATTGGGCTTGCTCTAGGCAGGGTCTGTTCTTCCATTCTCTTTTTCCCCTTTCTTGCTTCTACTACTTGTTCTCACCAAGATTTCTCTGTGCTACATAAACTGCTTCTGCTTTCACACTGTGAACATTGGAACATTGTGCAGGTTCTGCCCAACTTTGGAATCCCTTATCTGGCCTCTCACAGTTATCCCTGCCATCTGCAGCAGAGCACTGATTTCCTCTGCTATACAATCCAAAGGTCTGCTTACACAAACAGAAGGCACTTCTGTTCTTGTAAGGGGAGGGCTCTGCAATTTCCACAGATTTTTTTATTTGCGATACTACTTCCTGCACTGCTTCCTGTGCTTTCCCTGATGGTTCCCCAAGCAACTGCGGAAGACACTGAGGAAAAGATCCATTTCCTCAGTGCTGCTTCTATCAACCTTGAAAAATGTGGGAAAGATCCTTTCCATAAGTAGAGATTTATTCTTGGTTTGGTGTAGTGGTTAGGAGCACAGACTCTAATCTGGGAGAACTGGGTTTGATTCCCCACTCCTCCACGTGCAGCTGCTGGGTGACCTTGGGCAAGCCACAGTTC